TTTTTCCATGTAAGTGAATTTCCACCCAATTGCAGTTGTGTCCCAAAACATTTTTAGCTGAAATGATTTTAGATGGAAAGATTTCTAAAATGAGATAATCCCTATAAAGCTGGTAGCACTGACCCTGACACATAGTACTCAGAAAATGTTAGTTACTCATGCATGTGTTCATGAATTGCATTAGTATAGCCCCCAGCCTTGGAAATCAGAGTGGAAGTGGAAGCTAATTTAATAACTCTTTCGTGGCAAGCAAGGTTCATCATAAATTTCAATTATTTAATGGAACTATTAACCCAGGGATATTTATTTATCCATTTATTTGAAAGGCAAGAGAATAGAGATGAAGGGAGATAAAGATCTGCCTATTGCTTCAGTCCTCAAACACCCATAACAGCCAGAGCTGTTGCAAGCTGAAGTAGAACCCAGGCACCACTTCTGGGTCTCCTACATTTGTGACAAAGACTCAAGTACATGGGTGATCACCGACTGCCTTACCAGGTGCATTTTCAGAAAACTGGATTGGAAGTAAAACAACAGGGACTTGAACCAGCACCACGACATATGCATCGTAAGCAGCAGCTTATAGCACTATACCACAATTCCAGCATCACTCCTCTCTCTCTATGATTTCCTGCTATTAACTGTCCATGAGCTGAGAAATAATGCCTTCAAATCTTGAAACTACGTTCTGACATTAAGCAATGTATTTGCTCTCTCAGCCTCATAGCTTTCCTGTGTGTTCACAAAAACATCAAGTCTCCAGCTCTCAAATCTTTGAGTCTGACAGTTCAATAATGCTTTAAGTGAGAGAAGCTTTGGGTTCCTTTTTAAAATTTTTGTTAGTATTGTGGAGGAATTATCACTGATCAACTTCTCGAAAATCCAAAGCTTAATATCTTATTTTATTAAATCTGCAAAGCACAGAAACATGGCAATAACGAAACAACCAAGAAACTGATCTACAGAGATAGAGTAATGGTGGTGCCTTAGAATAGATCCAGAACTGCTTCCAACCAACTATGAATTAGGTAGAGAACCTCCCTGTGAGACATGGCACCAAGCGGGACAGTAAGCGAAGTACAAGCACTGGATAGGAGAAAGCTCAGACACAAAAGGGCGCACAGCAGATTTGGAGCCAGAGCTTTATTCAACTGTGTAGATTACCACAATGGCCTTGTGAGTTGGTTGTAAGGATTAAAGAATATCTGTATTGATTTTCTAAGGCTGCCATGACAAAGTGCACAGTCTGGGTGGAGTTATGGTGAGACTGAAATGACACTTTGGAGGCCAGAGGCCTGAGGCTTCTGGTTAGCATGCATGCAGCCACCTGCTCACTACAATCTCCAAGTGGATATCACTGTACGCACCTATCCTTCTTGTTTCTGTAAGATCAACAGTCAGATTGGATTTGGTTCCTACCACAGCTGCCGGAGTCCAATTCCAGCTGAGTTTGGGACTCCTGAAGGGTGCGTGGATTAGGAATAAAGAGAAAAGAAATGGACCACTACAGTTCCAGGATCATAATGGACAATGCAAGAAAGCTGTCCGCTTTGTTTATACAGAGGCAATTACAAAGGCTGGCACAGACTTTTCACACCTTGTCAAGCAGGAATTCCTAAGGATAGTTCTGTCAATTGTTTCACCTTGAGGTAGGAGATCAGCCGTCCTAATCCTGCGGTCAGGAAGTTCTCAACAGACACATATCAATCAGTAACACATTCCTATTACAATCCTCATTCCACAGCTTAGTCTTGAATCAGTTAAGGGGGGAAGTGCATCACAGAGGGAGGAACCTAAAGATCAAGGAAAGAGGAAAAGAATAGATTCCCACTACAACTAGGGACTTAACACCCTTGATTTGGCATATGGCCAGTGGGGGAGGAAAATACTAACCATAGGTTCCTGCTACACCCTTGATTAGCGTAGGATCAATGGGGGCAGCGGAGATAGCAGGAATAGTAAACGGCCCTTTTGCTAAGAGGTTATCAGCAATATCAACTTCCAAGCTCACATTTATAGTAAAGACCAACTCTGCAGTGGCAGACAATGCCTAGAGCATTTACAGAATTCTCAATGGGACTGTCCAGTGTCCATGCAAAGGGAGGTGGAACTGCCTTCAGGTGGATACAGAGACATCTGCCAGGCCTTGCCAAGCAGCAGGAAATTCTTTGCAGCCTTGTCTGCAAAGGAACGGTTCTCTTCACACCTTCGTGTCCTCCACATCCACCACATGGACCCCAGCACATAGCTTTCTCAATAATTACCTCTTGAAGTTTTGTTTCTAGGTAGACTTGCCTTCTCAAGTACTGAAGATTTGGGCTCCAATATATGAATTTGGGGAAATATGATTCATCCATGAAAATGCTTTGCAAATCTCTTGACTATGGAAGGCATGGATGTTACCTCCCTGGGGGAAGAAGGAGGCACTTGGCAAATAGGACTGCAACAGGCATGTCATGGTGGGTAGAAAATAAATCAGGGCGATTTGCCCTTCACAATGAGTGGGTGATCATTTGCACCCAACACTTGGCTTAATAGCTGTGCCCTTTCAACAACAGTTCCTGAGTATCTGCTTTACAAGCCAGGCACTAAGCTAGGCAACTTGAGGTTTGAAGGGATGATCCCGTGTGTCCACTATGCTGGAAATGAGTCCCATTATGGAAGAAAGCATTCTTGCTGCTTATCCTCTTCCTGAGCATCCCCTGTGCAGAGTGGTCTGGGTACCCTCACAGGCATACACCCCTTGATCTTCTCACCAGTTCTTGGATGGCTCTGAGACATACAATAACTTCCACATGGGCTTAGCACTGCCCGAGTTGGAAGTTAGGACTTCTGTGTTGAAGACAACATTTGTCTCCTTAAAGCCACAGAAGTTGTACCCAGGGATAGAAATAAAGTTGTAGAACTAAGGACTGTTATATACACAGGTGAGCTGATGATTTTTCTGATATAAACCTAGTCTGTGTTGTGGATAACTTGGACTTTTGTTACATGCTTTGCCACAGTTAGCATAACACAAAGCCAACACAAGTTAGAGCAAAATCCATTCTTTGATTAGAATTTATACACTAATGAGCAAGCAAATAAATAAAGGTAATTAGACACTAGAAGAGGGCACAGAACTGCTAAATCTTGAACTACTCTATATTCTGCAAGTCCTAGGAATCACGAATACTATGGATCTACCTCAAGGAAGATATACAAGCAACATCACTTTCTCACTCTAGAAACTGTGACTCCCTCACCTCAGACTGAAATTGACTTTTTTTCTTTACAGAAGGATGAACTCATCCAAAAATTCCAACTCCTGACAAGAATGTCAAACTTGGTTTACTTTCTCATACTTCCAAAAGACAGCTCTGGTTGCATGAAGTGCACAAAGCCTTAGCTGAAACTGGGCTCTGCTAACATCTTCACAGCAGTTCCTGCTGCAGTCCCCCAGGTCACCAGCAAGCATCCTAATCTCTACATTTGCATAGGAAATATTTTGAAGATGGTCATCTACACATATCTAAGTGGAAGTTTATATAATCTTAATATCATTTTGTCAGCAATGGCCATATATCCTAGACAAGCAAGAGCCAAATGAAGCCACAATAGATGCTGATACATTCCATGCAGGCATAATCATGCCAGACCTGGTCCAAGTGTAAATAAGACATGGAGACTCTTCAGCACACTTTGTAAAATCAGATCCTGATTGGTTTTCACAATAAATAAAGACAGGTCATTAATGAAAGTCCTGAAGTCACAGATTTAAGTAAACAAGATCTTCTGATCTACAACAACTATATCAAAATGTAACTATATTTTCACCTGAACTTAATCACTTTATTGCCCAATTTAGTGGTGGGGGGGGAACTATTTAATTCAAAACCATGTAGCTCAGGGGCAAGTTTTATGATATGTGCAATATATCTAAGTGAAATTATTCTTAAAACATGCACGTGCATCTAAGACAGGCCTGGGGAAATTGCAATGGCAATAGCAGAATAAATTTGGGATCTTCACAAATATCTCTATAAAGGCACAGCAACAAACTATAAAACAACAACAAAAATCCCAATGAAAGCTTGTACAGCAAAGGATTCCTCAAACAGGAGGAAGAGACCTTCAAACAGCTAGAGTATCCGCTTGGGTCTGGGAGCCGTTGTGTAGGAAGAAGACCCAGCGGGCTCTTCCAGAAAGCAGAATGCAGACCCAAGATCACTTGCCTTTTTCCATACCCCTTTAAATATAGGGTTATTCATGCTTTTACATACATATCCCAGGAAAACAAAAACCAGCCATGCTTCAATGCATACAACTTGTGTTACGTTGTTGCAGTACCTCCACCTTCATCTCCTTATTTTTTTTTTAAAGATTTATTTTTATTATTTTTTTTTTCATTGGAAAGGCGGATATACAGAGAGGAGAGACAGAGAGGAAGATCTTCCGTCCGATGATTCACTCCCCAAGTGAGCACAACGGGCCGATACTATGCCGATCCGAAGCCAGGAGCCTCTTCCGGGTCTCCCACGTGGGTGCAGGTTCCCAAAGCTTTGGGCCGTCCTCGACTGCTTTCCCAGGCCACAAGCAGGGAGCTGGAAGGGAAGCGGGGCTGCCGGGATTAGAACCGGCGCCCATATGGGATCCCGGGGGTGCAAGGCGAGGACCTTTAACCACTTGCGCCACCGCGCCGGGCCCCACCTTCATCTCCTTATTCTTTAACAAGATCATATCCTTTAATTAAAAACAAGACCAAAAAAATCTGTGAACTCCACTGAGGAAAAGCTTTGCACGAATGATCCTTCTAGATTCAGGTCTTCTGCAGGATGACTTGGGGCGTCCCCACCCAGTCAAACGCCTCGCGTCCCCTGACTTGAACTCCTGGTACTAAGCTTTTTGTGTTCGTCTTGTTGCACCTATTCAACAGGAGGCGTTGTTCCTGACCACGAGGTTCTTGCCCTGGAATCATCCCTCAATGTTCAGAACACAGGCACCAGAGCACCACATGCCAGATGGAGGCCGGCAGCGATGGGCACACGAGGCTGCTGGACCTCGAGCAATCTCCAGGACCGCGTGGGAACCTAGCCACGAGCCCCCCCACGGGTTCTCGCGTCACACTCAGTTCGTTGGAACACGCGCTCCAACGAACATTGCCCACTTCGCATCTGGCAAAGTTGGCAGTGAATCGAAAACTCCTAGAGCCGCTGACTCTATTCGAAGGACCTGACCCCTTTGAATTGCCCTTATGGGCAGTTACCTGGGCAGGGCCGGCCCACCGCAGCCGGCCGGCACCCAGGAGGTTCGGGACGGGTGGGAAAAGACCAGCCGCCACCCAGCAGCCCGCTCGCCACCGCCTGCTGCCCCAACCCATCACACACTCTACTTTCGCCCTCCTAGCACTTTTCACCCGCGCTCCGGGAGCTCTTCCCCATGGGACCTGGAAGCTACTTCAGAGCGCTTTATAATAACACCTAGAAGGCACTATCCGATCCAGCAGACCCGGAACCCGCTTGTGAGGGTTCTTCCCTCTGTGAGCTGGGATGGTAGTCCAAAGAAGGCTGTGCTCTCTGCTCGAAATTCCAAAATGGTGTGTGGTTCCGGCACCGTGAGGATCGCGCCTCCCCACAGCAAACTGATGCATTCTTTAACGTCAGATCGGATCATCTGCTCAGCGCTGCCCTCGTCCTCAGCCATGGTCACAAAGAAAAACGACGCTGAACTGAATATCCTCCAAGAGAGGAAGAAAAGGACCCTGGACGAAGAAGACCGGATATTCCTGAGTGGTCTGGAGAATAAAAGAAGGCGCCCTGATAACCTAGGCAGTGGATTCTCAACATTGGAGTCCCAGGCAGCCAATGAGGTTGTTGCTGCTCTGGCGCCTGAAGCTGAGTCTCTGACGAAAGGACTCGATTCCCAGAATTCGGATGAGCTCTTGAGTAAGATGAGTGTGTGCCCCTCTTTTGTGGCTACTAAGTACACGGCAGGCATCCCCAGTTTTGGCCACAATGCCATTACCAGCTCCTACAGTTCCACCCGTGGCCTCCGAGGCCTCCAGCAGCCACGAAAGAGGACTGGTCCCCCTTCATCCTCCTCCTGTAGCTCTTCTTCATCCCAGCTGCAGGTGCCAAGGAGGCCCGGAAAGAAAGCAAAGGACCAGGAGCCCTGCTCTCCTTCTGGTTCCACACCTGCACTGGTCACCAACAGCGAGTCGCAAGGAAAACCGGCGGCAGATCCAGCCAGTAAGAAGACAGAAAATAGGTCCCGGTCTCCGAGCCCACCTGACAGCTCTAGGCCGCGGAAACGCAAGGTTCAGCTGCTGCACTGCAGGCGAGGGGAACCGCTGACCCTACCTCCAGGGCCACAGTTGGGCTATCCCATCAGTGTGGAGGAGTACAACAGGGAAAAGAGAGCTGCCTTCCAATGGCTTAACAGGTTCTTGGAGGCCAAGCCGGAGGATGCAGCGAGCCCTGCTGCCATGGAGAAGCTGCCTGTTACTCTGGCTCCAACTGTGGTCGGGAGTGCATCTGCGGTAGCCACATTCCCGGCTCCCAGCACTAGGCTACCATTAGAGACCCCGAAGGCACAGAGTTCTTCGGGCCTCCCAGGCTTCCCAACCTCTGCTGGGGCAGTGACCACCATGGCCCCCTCACTTGAAAAGACATCTGGCCTGGCTCCTATTACCATTTCTCAACCAGGGCCCCTTCCAGGTAAATTTTCATATTTTATACCCACAGTTATTCCTGATGGTAGTCACTGATACCTGTTAAGTCCCCTCCAGCTGCTCAGGCTCAGACAACTGCTAAAGCCTCATCCTCATCTGCCCGGTCCCTTGTCCCTGCTACTGTGGAGCTCTGCTCAGGTCCCTTGTCCCTACTACTGTGGAGCTTTGCTCAGCACTGCCTTCTCTCTCTTCTCTCTCCCCCACAGCTCCAGCTGGGCTCTCAGCACCCTGCAGGTTCAAGTCCATCCTTGAAGTTCCAGCTGAAAGTGAGAATGGAGGACCCCTGCTGTCTGACCGTGATGTCACAACCACAGCATCTTCTAAGACCTTGACCAGCACTTCCACCCCAACTGTCATGCCTAACTGCGGTATCCCAGGTCCACCTGCACCCATGCCCTTGGCCACTCCCTTCCCCTTCCAGCATACTCCAAACCCAGCTTCAATTGTCCCTGCCTTCCCTGGACTAGCCACTGCCACCTCCCAGGTGGCCTCTGTCACCACAGCCAGTACCACCACAGACTCAGCTTCAAAGTCTGCTTTTGGCTTTGGTGTCATGGGTGTGCCCAGCATCCTGAGCGGTGAGACTGGTACCACTGCCTCCTCTACAGCACCGCCTTTCCTCTTTGGAGCTCCCCCTACCTCAGGAGCTAGTTTTACCCCAGCTGAGGGCTCCACATTCCAATTTGGCAAGCCTCCTACCATGCCAGCCTCAGCCACAGTCACCACCTTTGGACAGTCCTCCAGTGCTGCTCACATGGCCGACAGCAGCACTGCCCACTTTAACGGTTCAGGTAGTGCCCTCACAAACTCAGTCCCCATAACCACTGGGCAGCCTCCACTGAAGTTTGGTAATGTGGCCCCTGCAACATTCAATATGTCCTTTGGCTCAAGTGCCAAGCCCACTAGTCAACCACAGCCCACGTTTGGGGCCATGGATGGGCAACGACAGGGGGCTGCCAAGCCAGCCCTTGCCCAAAACTTTGGTAGCTCTTTCACACTGGGGAACCTGGCAGCCCCAGCTCCAAAGGTAAAATCAGTGCTGGCCCCCACTCAGCCAGTGGCTGGCAGTACCCCACAGTTGCCTCTTGGTGGTTTGAAATCTACAACTGTTGCCTTCGGTGCCACAGCAAACAGCCAGTCAGCCACTGGCAGCACCAAAGCAGGCTTCTCCATTGGTACAGCCACCATGTCTGCCTTTGGGGCTACCACCCAAACTACCTGCAGTGGGACCAATGGCACACCCTTCACATTTGGGGGATCAGCACCCCTCCCTGGCAGTGGAGGCTTCAGGCTCAGTACGGCCACTCAGGTCACCAGCTCCCCCTCTGAAGCATTCAGCTTGAGGGCGAAGCAGAGTGGGAGTGCAGGAGCTACCACCTCCTTTGGAGGGACTGTGAGTCAGAAGAGCCAGGGCGCATCCAGTCAGGACCCAGCAGCCTTCAACGTAGCCAGCAAGCCTGTATTTGGAGGCACCTCCACACTCACCCTTGCTCAAAACACTCCTACCTCAGGAAAAGGCAGAGGGATGTCCTCACGACCCACCCAAGGCTTCGCTGCAATTGGATCTTTCAAGTCTGAGACCCCTTCATTCTGCATTGGTGCAGCATCCAAAAGCCCACGGCCTCAGCAGCGATTGCAGGCTCGAAGGCGGCAGCCTCGCAGGATATAGATGTTATCTCTTGCTTTTGCTCCCTGATCCTGCTCCCCGACCCCCTGTCCAAGTTTGCACCTTGGTCCCTTGACCAAGCGCAACCACAAGGGTTGTAATGACGGTGGTTGGTCCCTTTCACTCCTCCTCGAGGGAGAGACCTCAAGAAAAGGGGCCCTCAGGTGGCAAGGCACAGGCCCGAGGCCTTTGCCTAGAGAGATGCACTGGACAGACTGGGGAAGCGAAAGAATTCCCATTCTTGTTTGATGTGGAAGCAACCACAGTGAGGCCAGCTCCTTGCTGCATTTCCCCTCAACCATCTTTATGGGATGGCCTGAGGCACAGCCCACTGGGCTCTCCATGCACATTTGATAGGGTGATAAATGATCCTGGAAGTTTGATTTTGCAAGTCTTAGCTGCAGTAAGTGGTTCTCTTCCTTTGGTCCCTTTACTGGAACCTGGCAGATCTAAGGGAGAGGCATTTTGCTCTAGGAGAAACTCTCAGAGAAGGCAGGTTGCCCACAGCTGTTGTCCACAGCCTTCTTTCCCACCTACTCATTGACCTCAGTGGGCTGGGTCGCCCTCTTATTGCTAGGCTGCCTTCATAGCGCTCCTGTCCACTCCCTTTGGGAGACTGGAGGAAGGAGTGCACACATGGTGGCATGCTGGCAGTGCCTACCTTCACTCTTGTGTCTTTTCTGGAGCCTAGCCAATGGAATACAGAAGTAGCACTACATTATAGCTACAGGTACTGAATTCTGAATCTTCCAGAGGGAAACAAAAGCCTCTTCCTTCTACTATTTTTCCCCCTTGTCAGACCTCATTATAGGTGAGGTCTTTCCTTTTCTGTGTTAGTAAACCCAAATCCATGGGCCATATTTTAAAATTGTATCTTCGTTCTTTTGCTTAAACAGAAGCCTCTCCACCCCTTCTCCCTTTCTTCCTTTATTCCTAAACCACATACCCTAGGCCCAAGAACCTTGTTGCCATCCTTACTCCCTTTGAGAGAAATATTAACCCATGTGTTTAAAAAGAAAAAATAAAATTTTAAAAACAAAATATAAATGTGTTTTTGTATTTAAGATTTAAAAAAAAAAACATGCTAGAAAATCAATGTGTTCTTTTTAACTAGTCCCAAGGAAAATATTAGACAATGCACAGTAAACTTCTCAACAGCTCTGCTTTCTAAACAGCATTTTCACCACTGCTAAAATTTAAACATTGTTTCTAGGTGAGTAAAAGTTAGGTTCCGAAGCACATTTTCCACAGCCTATTCTGAACATCATGGGGACTTGGGCTAAAGAAAGAGTAAAACAAGATATTTTGCAAACCTACATAACCAATCTTACTTTTACAAGGTTGTATTCCCAGTGGAAGGGAAACAGATAACACTGAGTATTGATCAAGGCATGAATTACCAGCAGGAAATAGGTTTTCAAACTGGGTGCCAAAGATTGGCTATCAACACTATTTTGCAAGTCTCTAGAGTTCTCACTCTAAAAATCAGTATTAGTATGCAGCCATATACTTAAAGGACTTCAAATTCATCGGATATCTGGGGCCTGTGTTGTGGCATTGTGGGAAAATCCGCTGTTTGTGGTGATGACATTCCATACAGGTGCCAGTTCAGGTCCTGGCTGCCGCACTTGTGACCCAGCTCCCTGCTGAAGTGCTGGGAAGGAAGGAGAAGGTGGGCCAAGTACTTGGGCTACTCCTGTGAGAGAACCGGAACCTAGCCCTGGCCATTGCAGCCATTTGGGGAGTGAGACAACAGATGGAAGATCTTTCATTCTCTCTTTTTCCCTAACTCCGTAAATCATTAAAAAGATCAACCAGATTTCTAGTAAGATTAAAGAAGACAATGATTATTTCTTTACAAAGTAAGCACCCTGTCTCTATACTTGTTAATCATTTTCAATAGACTTTGTGAATCATGCTGTTGGTTAGGTAAGGTTGCCTCTTCCTTCACTGAAGGAAACCTCTACTCAGCATACTGCAGGGAAATCACAATCTTCGGTGTTTAATAAATGCTTCACAAAATAAATGGAGATGGTGATGTACCTGGAGTCAGATGGTCAGTGAGTATTAATTGAGCATGCACAACCAAAGTTGGCATGGGCATTAAAGATGAGAATCGATTGTCTGCCCACTGGGAACCTTACCCTAACAGAGACCTGCCCCCTCTCTTCCTCAGCAGCTAGCAGAGTAGTTCAACACATAAGTCTTTGCATGATCCACTTGTAAATACTCCCCGTTCCACAGAGTTTGGAGCTAAAAGCTTCCAAAATTAGTAGTCACACAGGTGATACCCTCCTTGGTTGTTGGCCACTGCCAGTGAAACCCATGTTCAATCCTCTGGGTAAGGCCAGCAAGATGGGCAGGAAGGTTTTGTTTAAAAAAAAAAAGTCTGGGGGTCTAGCAAAAGCCTTACAAGTCCCCAGATCTACACTACCAGTTGATGAGGCTTATTCATAAGAACAAACCCAGGGAGCAGGCGTTTAGTTTATAGGTTAAGATGGCTGTGCCTGTCCGGGGAGTATGTGCCCAGGCTCCAACAAGGCTCACACACTTATAACCCTCTTTCCTTTAGGAGAGGGAGAGACTGTAAACTTTAAGGGGAATACCAAAGGAGTTTCAGAGTAACTCACAAGGTTTGGAGAACACACAAAAGCCTGGAAACAAAGAATGTTTGTCCTGAAGAATCAATGGATTATAAATGAGTCCCTTGTAGTAGTCAATGGGAGTGAAATAGAAGATCACGGTGTGTGAGGTAAAGTCGGGGTGGGTTTAGCTCATACAGGTTAAGGGTTAGAGACAGTTGTTTTTCCTGGCACAGATAATTTTGCAGAAAGCTTCTCAGTTTGCTGAGTCAAAAGGGTCTGTAACAAGGGAAGGACAAAGGGACCTTCTTTCCAACAGGGGTTCTAAAGCTTCTTACCACATCAAGGTGCCAGTATTGGGGGTATCTCTTTATGAACCCCAATAATATTGTTTCTGACAGATGTTCAGAGTGGTTAAGTCTAATGGAGAGAACTACTGATCTAATTAACTGTTCAGTAACACCAGATGTATTCACATATTTTTCCACCTTGATAGCCTGCACCATTAATAATATAATGAAGGGCAAACAGTTGTTGGGACAGCTAAGATGCCATTTGCAAGGACCAACAACAGGCTAATCTTCCACCTCCAAACACCAGCATCACATCTGAGTGTTGGTTTATGTCCCAGCAGCCCTACTTTTGATCCAGCTCTCTGCTTGTGGCCTGAAAAAACCATGGGAGGAAGGCCAGAAGCCTTGGGATCATGCACCCACATGAGAGACCAGGAAGAGGCTCCTGTCTTCAGACTAGCTCAGCTTTGGCCACTGAGACCACTTGGGGAATGAACTAGCAGAAGGAAGACCCATCTGCCTCTCTTTCTCTCTGTAAATGCACCTTCTCAATAAACACACACACACACACACACACACACACACACACACACACACACATACACACACACACACCCCTCAAAAAATAAATAAATAAATAAATAAATAAAACCAAATGGAGTGCATAGGCTTGAGAGACAGCTTTGCACCTGATTCTAGCTTAATAATGGCCAACTTAAGAAGAAGGTGATGACCCAAATAGTTTAGTCCCCTGCCACAGATGTGGGAGACCAGATTGAGTTCCTAGCGCCTGACTTTGGCTGGTTCAGTCTCAGCTCTTATGGGCATTTGGGTTTGTACCAGTGGGTGGGAGATCTTGTGCTCTCCCCTTTCTCTTCTTATTGCCTTTCAAATGCAACAAGAACACTATGAGGTCCAGCGCCTTAGCTCACTGGCTAAAATCCTGCATGTGCCGGAATCCTCCTATGGGCACCGGTTCATGTCCCAGATACCCCACCTCCTGTTGAGCTCCTGAGCTCCCTGCTTGTGGCCTGGGAAAACAGCCAAGGATGGCCCAAAGCCTTGGGACCCTGCACCCATGTGAGAGATCCAGAAGTTCCTGACTCCTGGCTTCAGATTGGCTCAACCACAGCTGTTGCAACCACCAGAATGAACCAGCAGGGAGAAAATCTTTCTGTCTCTCCTTCTCTCTGTAAATCTTCCTTTTAAAGAAAAATTAATCTTTTTTTTTTTTTATTAATAAATTTTTATTTTGACATTCTTTACATAGTTAATTAGGGTAAGAAGGTTCAAGGGCTACAGGAAAGTGGATAATACTAATATGTTTTCCATATTGTTACCTTCATGTTTAAAAGGGGGGTATTAAGGGAGAAGGCCCACCCAATTTCCCACCCTCCCCAAGTCCCGGGTGTAGGGCATGCTCTGAGGTTCTTGCTCAAGTGGTTTTGATATTGCAACAGTTATGAATCGCTGTCAATCTTGCCGCTCCAAGCACTATGAGGTCTTTGAAAAATCCACTGATTGACATAGTCCATCATAGCTTAGATGGTTGGTTGACCCGTTCTGTCTTCTCTCTTTTCTTTGTTATGGTTCTGAGTCCAGCATTTAGATTAGGAAGATCTCCAAAGAAACTTCTTGTATGTGCTAACAAGTACAGGGCCTGGCACCGTCCATCGCTCCAATCAGCTGGTGGTTGCAATTCCTGGGTTGGTTCTGTTTTCACTCCCGTCTTCCACTGGAGCCAATGGGTGTTGCAGTCCAGTCTGGTTCTGCCCAGCACATACTTGGCCCTCACATAAACCAGCGGGAGCTGTAGCCTAGGTTGGAGCGACCCACAATAACCCCAACCAGGCCCACCCCCTACCCTGGTTTGCCAGTAAGTGTAGCAGTAATCCAGTCTGTCCCACATCCCATTCCACCCCAGCCGCTGTCTTAGTTTTATGTCCTCCCGTGGAAGTGGTAACCCAAGAGGGATGAGCCCACTATTTCCCTCCCAGGCCTCTCCCACTCCCAGATTCCAGTTGATGCTGCCCAAACAAACCTCGCCCACTTTAATTTTGTTTGCACCAGTAGGAATAATCCGCCCAGCCTGGCTTTTCCCTGATCTAGTCCACATGAGGCGCACAGG